AGCTGAGACGATGAGACTCTCAGAAATACCAGCTGCGTGAGCAAAGTGCCAAACTCTGAGGTCACTGATGCTGAAATGTTACTACTCAATCAACTCATCGATTAATCATCCACTCGTTTCAGATCTCTTCATAGGTACTTGAGTTCAAAATCAGTATATTGTAATCAAGAGTAACAGCTCATACTGCCGCAAGTTTGAGATGAGTATGAGAAATGATTATAGAAAGTTTGTAAGTAAAGAAATGTATGAATATAAAGGGGGAAAAAATGTGGATATGTACAATATTTACATTATTGTAATGATGCTTGGCAAATAGTTGTTTGCTGCTATATTAGTGTTCAGGATGTACAGAAGTAGAAGTAATATAGAGAAGTAATACTTTTTGTTTTACACTGTGGTATTAGTACTTAATTACTCAAGTAAAGGATCTGAATACTTCCTCCACCACTGAAAACAGCTGAGAAAGTTTGATATCCACATGATCTCAGAACTGACTGATCTTCATTATTACAGGTCTCTGCATTGTGCCGCCTCACACACGTGCTTCAGTCTGAACGCTGACGACACGATGAGGATTAACTCTTTTAACACTCTCTCTTCTGCGTCGCAGGTGTTCTTCGACCTGATGCGGGAGGTACGCAAGAAGAAACTGGCGGAAAGCAAAGATAAGAACGGGCCGAGCGGCAAGAAGAAGAAAAAGCACTGCTGCTTACTTTAACTGCGAGGTCACAGGCGAGGTGACAAAGTGCCAACACCCAAAAACAGTCAGACGGACTGAGACAGGCAGCAGCTTCAAACCATCAACCTGCCTGACTGCACATCAACACTCAACAGCTGGGGAGACTTACTACTCTGACTCCTCACCTGCACGTTTATTTGGGCATTTATTTGTATACCTGCAAATGTATTTTTCTCCAAATGTCTAAAATCCAAATTTAAAATAGTTTAATTTAATAGTTACTGTAAGTATTTGAGCTCATGTTGCCAAACTCACCAGAAGACTCTCACTTCCTTTATTGTTTGCTTGGTGACCTTTAAAGTTTTCCTCATTCTGCTTCCTCTTTATGTACAGATTGTGTGGTCCGACTTATATGTGGCCAAAAGTATGTGGACACTTGTGACAGCATCCTCATTACCGTGCTGCTCTAACAGCCTCCACTGCTCTGGTTTCAGTCTTGATGTTGTTGAACTTGCTGCAGGGATTTGCTCCCGTTCAGACACCAGAGCATCAGTGAGGTCCAACGCTGATGCTGGTGATCATGTCTGGCTCCCAGTCGGCTCTCCGGTTCGTCCCAAAGGTCATGTTCTTCCACACCGTACTGGGAAAACCAGTTCTTTATGGAGCAGTCTGTATTTTTACAATAACAGATGTCGTGTTTCCTGTTCTGCTTCACTCTCAGCGCTCTCATGCTGTCATTTGTAGAGAAGAAAACAGCAGACAGACACAGTCAGAGACAAGCTGGTGAACATAGTGGAGCATTTAGCAGCTAAAGAGCCAGGAGGTGGTGGAGACCAAGAGCTATGAGAGAGGGATCACTGGACATTGATCAGGTGACGCAAACAGGACTGAATGAATAATCATATTCCTGTTTGATGTGGAAATAAGCAGCTGTTTGCTCACAAGTTCAACGTTTCACCTCGAAAGCTGTTATTAAGTCAGTTATTGCAGGTTTCAGTGCACATTTTCCAAACAGTGCAGAGAGAGAACATGTCATGACATGTCTCTGCCATCATAGTGTTACCGATTGTCACAGATTGAGACGTTTTACTTTATTAGACCCGTGCTGCACCATGTGACATGCTACAAACCTGTACACAGGGGTGTCCATATACTTATGGCCATGTACTGTACGTTTCCTTTCTTCTCCTGCGCTGTTGTGAATCTTTGACAATCGTGAATTTGTCTTTTAGGTAGACCCACTATTAGCTGAAGAAAAGCCATTTTCCCAGATCTGTCAGTGGAGATGTTCCAGGGTGAGATTTTGTGCCTTAAACTTTTTCTCGTTTGACACGTTTTGTGGTCACGGCTGACTGTGAATCGGAGAAAGAGAGAGTTTTATCCTACATAATGCCATGAGTTCCCTGCTTTTGTTTACGCTCGAGTATTTTCGCACATTCCTGATATATAATCAGTACACTTCCAGACACTCCTTTTGAACGACAGCTTCAACTCTTCACCTCCCTTTAGAACACCAGTATAATTTATAATCATCTTTAAAAGGGAATTACTATTTAAAGGTCATCGGGGTCATTATCTGTGTATTTATGACGTCTGTGGTTTGAAAGTTTGTTTGTGTTGTTGTTGTTTTTTCCCCCTGAGAAACTCATTTCCATTTGATAATAAAAGAAAACACAGGTGGATCACGGCTGCTTTGTTTGATCGAGCCCCCGGATGTGTCGCCGGTGGGATCAAACATATTCTAGCAGCATTAATATGCTTATAAACTTTGGATTACACAAATTAGAGGAGTATAAATGAAAAAGGGTTACACTTTAAATTGTAATTTGGTACTAAAGTAAACAGAGACCGTTCATTAGTGCATTTCCAGTGAATTACTTATGAATAATTGGTATGTTCCCATTGTCTCTAAACAAATGTACCAAATGTAAATATTTTTTCTCGGAAACTTCTGTGGAAATAAAAAGTAACATAAAAGCATCACCGAAAGACAAAAGCAAATATCAGACAGCTCTTCATAATACTGTCCTGTATTTATGCTGCTCTGTTTGTCGTTAGTATCAAAGAATCTGTGTTCAAAAAGCCATTTACTTGTTGTGAATGTGAAATATTTTAAGATTTACAATAAAGCTGAATGCCAACAACAGAATGTTTGATTGAAAATAAATTGTTTTGTATCTGACTTGATGAAATAATCATCTCTGGGAGATGAATTTAATTATCCAATATTTGTCTTTATTAATGAAGTAAAAGTAAAAACAACATTAGAAACAAATAAATCTCTAAATAATTAGGTTTTTTTTGTTTTTTTTTACCTTTAAATAGTCTCTATCCGGAAGAAACTGTGAAAGTTGTGATATATTCTCTGGTCACTAGATGGCATTGCTGGCTTAACTTTGGATAAAAGGTTAATTTATATCATTAATATAATTAATAATATCAGAACTCTCTATTTTAACACAGAAAAAGAAACATTTGTTGTCACTTTGCAGTTTACATAACAGTTGAGGTTACAAAGAAATTTACACAATGTTGTGCTTTATTTTTGACTCCTTTAAAGTTTTATTTTCTTAAACTTAAAAGATATGCTGGTGGATTAAGAATGTTGTTACTTGTTTAGGTTGATTTGACATTACTTGATAAAGTGAAGATTTGTTGCACTAAAAGGCAGATCAGCTGTTTCAGGAGTTCGACCTTTGACCTCCCAACCAGCAGGTGACCTCTGGTAAAACGTAAAGTTAAGGTTTCTGCTGGGTCAAATGTGTGAGATGAATTTGTTAAACCTACTTTGTCCCCTGGTTTGAAATGGTAAGATATAGTTAAAGATGCTGGTAAGTTATTTGTTTGGACAAATAAAAAAAATGCACTTTTGTTTGTTCTGAACTCCATTATACCTTTAATCTAAAAATGTTTATCTTGAAAGTAATTGTGTCTGAAGAAGTCAAACGTGGACGCTTTATCTCTATTTCAGGTCAAACTCGTTTGACTAGCAGAAGCAACTCTTCTTCGTGCTGCTCTCTTTTTTTTTATTCTGTCCTTCCTTGAATTTAACTTTACTGTCAGAGATGACAGAGATGTCACAAAACAATCATTATGAATCTCATACTTTAGACAAGTTAAATAAAATTTACAATATCGGTAATATATAATTCATTACAAATAAAGACAATACAAAGTCTCAACATTAAGATAAGTTAAATACAAGTTACACTATCAGTTGTGAAATACAATTAAAATACAAATAGAAATAGCAATAAAATATAATTTATTAAAAATAGTTTAAAACTTAGATAAGTTGAACAAAAATTACAATATGAGTGAAACGGTTAAATTAAAAATAATACAAAATACAATAAAGTATAATTATTTAAATTATTTAAAAACTCTCAATGTTAGTAAGTTGACATAAAGTTACAATATCAGTTATGAAATACATTTAAGATTAAAATAAAATAAATGAAATCGAATTTATTAAAAATAATTAAGAATTAAAAATCTCAGAAGTTAAATTTAAATTTAAAAAAATTTATTCTACATTTATATAACAAAATAAAGTAAACATGGATAGTTTACATGGAACTTTGTGTTTGCCAAAAATCCAATCCAGTAGTGAATTCAGGCAAGTAGGTGAACTCCTTTCGTTTATATTTTTATGCTTATTTTGTACTTATTTGCCCTCATTCTGTTCCTCCTCTTCCCTCAATAAATGTGGGTTAATTTTAGCGAGGAAAGAAAGAGGATTAAATCAGAATATGATTGACTTATACAAGCTGCTGTGTTCAGTACAGAGACAGTTGTTAAGCACTTCCTTCCCTCTGTGATGATCTGAGAGTTTTACTGGCTTGAGATCAGATATGACACACATGAAACCGTCTGTGGATCCAGTGTCTTCTGCAAACAGCAATAGCAACACAATAGCAGCTTTGTCTGAAACACTGCTGGAGAGCCGGCAGAGCTGCTTTCTGTCGTCTGTTGTGTTGAACACGCCTGCTGGATGCTCTGAAACACACGGACATACCGACAGCAGAACTTGTTTTGGTTTGATTCTCAAGAAATATCACTTCTTTTAACTTGTTGTTGCCTTTATCCTTCTTTCACTTTTGTTCGCTCTTAACTTCTATCTCACTTTCGTTACTTTTTTTTACTACTTCCCTGCTCACATTCCTTTATTTTACTTTTTATTCCCTTTTATCTTCTTTCCCACTTTTGTTCCTTTTACTTTTTATTCCCTCTTTTGTTCCTTTTACTTTTTGTTCCCTCTTACCTTCTTTCCCAACTTTTGTTCCTTTTACTTTTTGTTCCCTCTTACCTTCTTTCCCAACTTTTGTTCCTTTTACTTTTTGTTCCCTCTTACCTTCCTTCCTACTAGCCTTCATTTTACTTGTGGTTTCTTCTTACCTTGTTTCCCACTTTCCGTCCTTTCACTTTTTTTTTTACCCCTTACCTTTTACCTTTTTTCCTTCCTTTTATTTATTGTTGCTTCTTCCCTTCCTTTATTTGTTTCCTGTCCCCTTCCTTATGACCTTATTCTTCTCTGATCCTCTGTGTCGTTACAGATAATGCACTGTATGTCCGCTGTATATTTGTTTTACCTGTTCCTGCGTTACCCTTTTCTTTTGTCTGCCTTGCCTATATAAAGGTCAGAGGTCAGCCCCAGAACATTAACCTACAAACACACTTTCTGTTTTTAACGTGTGTTCCAGAGGAGGTTTCCGTGGTGCGGAGATGTTCCTGCTGGCTCAAACAAACCCCGGATGCGAACCAAAGCTTGTCCTAATTGTCTCTGGCAGTATAGATTGAGCTTCCATCTGTAAGCCTCTTACAGTAATACACCTGCTGCTGAGACGACACCACGGCTGAGCAGCGCAGGACGAACACTCCTCCACATACAGCTCCCAAATATGACTTTCCGGCCGACATGTTGCTCTGAGAACATGGTTTTGTGATTTTCAGGAAAGGATCCAGAGGTGTGTCCGAGATGCTGTGTGGAGATGTGGTGGCCATGTGGGAGGTGGCTCTGAGCGACGGCGTTTACAGGATTGAGTTTGCTCATGGCACCACCACCGGGAAACGCATTGTTTACATCAACGGACAGGTGAGACCCTGTTTAAGTCCGTTTCTGGGGGGGTTTTGTCAGTGGTTTCAAACCATTTTTGGGTTTTAATCCCTTAAAAGAAAGTCTACTTGTGACATCGCATTTAGTTGTTCTGGAAGGATTTTAGAAGCATGAACGAGTGAAAGTATCGAGTATTTCACAAAAGTAAAAGAAAAAAATTAACAAAATTTTGTGTCGAGAAATGTTCTTTCTCTTGTGACCCCTCAGATTTATGTTGGGATGTTTTGGGTCCAAACAGCTGATTCATGTCCTCACAGTGGTGGAACAAGAATTCAGAACATCTGATACACTTTCAAATACTCCAAACAATTTTACTTAAAATACAGAAGTACTGGCAGTCACTTAAAGTATCAAAAGTAAAAGTATTCATTATGCAAGTCAACCCATCAATTAATGTTGTACTTTAATACTGTAGTTGGTCGAGGTGGAGCTACTTCTAACTGCTTAATATTCTACTGTTTTTATGGAATTTAATCTGTAACAATTAATCATGTTTTAAAATCTGTTGGATAAATGTAGTGCATTTAAAAAATCTGATGTTTCCCTCTGAAATTTGTTGGAGTAGAAACTGTGATCAAATGCAAATACTCAAGTACAAGTACCTCAAAATGGTACTTCAGTGTAGTATCTGAAGAAATGTAAAAATCCTGCCTGAATACAGAAGTGTATTAAACTAGAATCGAAATACCTCATTTCACTTTCTCTAATGTGTATCTTTGTGTTTATTTATTAGAATCATTGTTCCAAATAGGATTATACGACCCTACTAAATTAAACAACAATAAAATAAAGTTCTTGAACATGATACCGTTAATATGATGCTTTTTGTCTTAATCTCATCTTAATCCCGTCTCTTGTGGCCACGATTTTCTTTCGTGGTTTGCCCTGCCTTTTGTGTTTGTACATACTTATACTTTGTACATACTCGTAAACTATGCAAACACATACAGTATATTTTACAACATACAGTATATTTTACAACTTTTTATTAGATTCTACATTAATTTTTGGGCCCATTTTGGGGTGTAAAAGAAGCTAAAAACATATAATTGACACCCTGCAAAGTAGATGTTGCTTAAAACAACAGTCTATTTACAGATCCAGCCAAAATAAACATTCATCTGGAGTTGTGTTTGTATTCATCTGATGAATTTAAGATCAATTCACTTATTTTTTTAGCTCTGTTTTTGGTCTCCACCAACTCCTGGGGGAAATATCTGGATCTTTAGCTGCTGCGGTTTCTTGGCATGTCTGAACTAGTTTGTCAAAGAAATACAACTCACTAAATGACAACATATAACGTGTTAACTACTTTAACTAGGCAGATTTTATTACCTTTGGTCTGGGCCTTTTAATATTCTTTTATTGTGGTTTTTACTTCTTCCAGTACGGATCAAAAACTGATGACTGAATAAATAAATGTGCTGTAGCAGGTGTTTGTCTGTCAGTCCTAAAGCTGACAGCATGTTTCCTCAACAGGAAGTCATCAGAAAAGACTGGCTGTTCAAGCTGGTTGGAAAGGAAACCTTCACCGTGGGAAGCGCCCACACCAAAGCCACCATAATCATCGAGGCCATCAGCGGATTTGCCTACGAGTACACGCTGGAGATTGACGGGAAGAGCCTGCAGAAGTTCATCAGTGACCGGGCCCAGACCACCAAAACCTGGCTGCTCAAAGTGGACGGACAGGACTGCAGGGTCGTACTCGGTGAGCCACAAATGTGTCCCTGCTGTTTGTTTGCAGGAGGGAATGCAGGTAAACGCTGAAGCATAATCTGCTCAGCTCGAGCTCAGTGCAGTTATTTTAGGAAACATGACAACCGGCTGGACAACAGAAACTGTGCCTGTGTTGATGTCTTGTATAACAAAAAGACTGTTCAGAGAAACTTAATTCACTCATGCAATTCAGAGATCATTAGAGACTGACACACCATAGATCCATAACAGCAATGAAGGGAATGATAATGTGTAAAACTTTATTCCAACAGAAAAGGACACGATGGATGTTTGGTGCAACGGGCAGAAAATGGACACGATGGTGAGAATCTCTCAACAAATACTTGGAGCCCCAAAATGAACAAACTGTAAAGTAGTTGTATTCATATTGTGAAAATATAACTAGAGTCTAACAACATTTGTACTGTATCTGACGGTGAGCTTCAGTCCACTGCTGCATAGATAAAAAAAAATATATATCTGTGAATAAACTTCCATCTGGAGCTAAACGCATAAATGAATGGGTTTAACTCCCACTGGAGCTGCCAGATGAATAAAAAATATAAAGTTAGGAGCTTCTGCTCTGTAGTTGGACACGTGCTGTGCAGCCTGTTAATGTCTGTTTGCACAAAGATTTATTTTACCTCCTATATAAGTAAAGCTAACAGCCAGCAAAGTGGACGATTTTCACGCCTTGTCTTTTCACGCGGTCGACTGATATCTGTTTTCAATGGCCGATATTTAGAGAGCAGGATATATAATGCTGATATCAGAACAAAGAAAAGCCATGTATAATCTCTTTATTCTTTATTCAATCTCTTTACGTTCTAGTAAATGAAAATCCATTCTACTAGTAGTAATTAAACTTTTTACTCACTAAGTTTAGTGCCTTATAACATGATGCTGTTTGGTAATTCTACTTTCCCTTAATTTAAAGGATGTTTAAATGTTGTCCTGTATTGACACAGGTGTTTCTGTCCTCTGAAGAGTTCCTTTCAAAATAAAGTTTAAAGGAAACAATCTGTTTTGACAGTGAAACTCTGCCTCTGATGCCATTTTGAGATGTAAAAAGTTCACATTTTCCCCCCGTAAATGACTGGACTGCAGCTGGAATCCTAAAACTTCTCAGTGTTTTCTGGACTGTCCCACAGGGAGAGTTCGTAGACGACGGCACAGAGACGCACTTCATGGTGGGGGAACACGAGTGCTGCATCAAGGCTACGAGCGGTGGGAAGAAAAAGAGCGGCATTGTGCACTGTTTACTGCTGGACGGGGACAAAATACCAGCTTCAACACAATAATGCCGGAGCAGACTGTTGGAACAGAGTATAACTTTCAAAGAGACTCTGTGAATGAAGTATTTGGATGCCATGTATAAATACCAAGCAGATACTACACTGGCTGTGCTTTGTGATGGAGGATCAGGACTTTTTGTGTTTGAGTTGGTTTTGACTGCACATTTAGAAAATACACGCGCAAATATGTTCATTTAAATATAGCAAATAAACACTGAACTGTATCTTTTTATGCTCTGCTGGGTGATTTCTTTTGACACATGCCTGTTGGTGCTTTGCAACTTTATTTTGAGGGGCCCCCATTGTAAGTATATTCCGCTGTCAAAACCTTGAATAAGAAGGAAGAAATCTGAGAATTAAGCTGATTTGTGCGCAGCCTCCACGCAACTGAATGCCGTCAAGCACGCAGCGATTGGCTACAGACAGACCGGAAAAGGGGAGGTTTGTTGTTCAAAATAAAAGCATCACATATGTTGTTTAAAATCAGCACAACCTTATGTAATCTGAATAAGCAGGCTAAATGTGATCTAAAAAGACCAATATTAAATGGAATAAGTATGCTATTTCGAGGCCTGAGACACAGATAATTCCACTTATCCAGCTCATCTGTGTTTTGTGGATTCATGTTTTTAGGATAATGTAGAACATGTTTTACACATTTTGATGGTTTGAATTAATTTAATTTATGTATTATGGGTTTGAAATGAAAAATGAGAATGACACGGTCTATGTGTAGGTTGGCACTGCCTCTGCACCCATACATAGTTGTTCATTTACAGCTTAATTTCACAGTTTCTAGACTTCTTATTTTTATTTGACTACTTCAAGGCAAAGCAGAAATACATAAACAATATTCAGCACCTCAGTAACAGTGTTCTCGTCTGCAGCTGGTCTCATTAACAAGGCCTGGGACCCCCAATGACACTGACTCTCGTGTCCCCCCGTTATTTTGAGTTTTAAAGTGGTCCTATTATGCTCATTTTCAGGTTCATAATTGTATTGAGGGGTTTTACCAGGACAGGTTTACATGGTTTAATTTCCAAAAATGATGACACCTGTTACATAGTGACGCAGATAGATTATAGAAGTAAAGGCTGGACTACAATCGTTTAGCTATAACATGCACAAAAATCTGGATCTGCCACCAAAAAGGACAGGAGCAGACTACAACGGACAGTCAGGACTGCAGAAAAGAAAATCGGTGCCAACCTGCCCTCCATTCAGGACTTTTCCCAGAGTCAGGAAACGGGCAGGAAACATCACCGCAGATCCATCTCACCTCCAGCTTCTCCCTTGTGGTAGGCGCTACAGAGCACTGTACGCCAAAACCAACAGACTCAGGAACAGTTTCTTCCCAAAAACCATCACTCTGATGAACAGCTGACTCTGACTCACAGTGTCAGCAACAACTCCTGTGCAATAACCCAGTAACTCTGCCTCTAATCAGCACCTGTTTACTGGTTTCCACTTTAATTTATTTATCATTCTCTATTTCAGAGCTGTTCGTATTGTTATATCGTATATATACTGTGTACTAAATCCACCTACCGCATGTACAACACCTGCACATAATACTTATTTAATCCAGCATCCTTTGCACTGAGCTTCATCACACTGTGTATGAGTACATGTATGCATGTTTGTGTACATGTATATCTCACCCACCTCCAACATGTATGATATGGCAGAAAATTGTGTCCTCTCTTACATTAAATCTTATTTAATCTATTATTATTATTATTATTATTACTATGGCTTATAGATATATAAGAATTGTGTTTTTTTTTATTATCCTTAACTTTTCCTTCTTCTATACTCCTTATGTTAGTCTGTCCACATTTACTAGGGTTTAGGTCAGAGCTGTGAGATTGTTTTGTGTTTTCCCCCTCTTGTTGTTCCCCTCCCAGCCTTGAATGTTCATTCATGCGCAATCCTGAGTCCAATTCCTCCCATGTGCACACAGACTTGGCAAATAAAGCCGATTCTGATCCCTACTACGTCTCCGGCTCTGACGCAGAAGCAGGTTTTATTTTGAACTCCCTAACCGGAACCCGTGTTGTGCCGTGTGTGCAGCTTGACCCGGAGGAAACGCTCTGAGGGGTAATGACGCTCCCGGCTGGGATCCTGCAGCCTACACGGGATGGACCTCACAGCTCGGGAAGGGGGGACGGCTGAGAGTCGCAGCACCGTGTGCGGGACCTGCCTGTGAACCTACCTGTCGCTTTACAGCTTCTGGATTAATTTCGGAGGAGGACCCCGCGGTTGTGGACTGAGGACGTTATTCCGCGCAGCTGTTCCCGGACTGGAGAACAAAACAACACGGACGGGAACAGACATCCTAACTAACCCACCACGATCCAGCAACTGTTTACCACACTGTCCCCAGCCGCTCTTCTACTTTATGTCTTTTTTAAATGGCTTCTCCAGCCTGCCCTCCGGGGCTTTAACGCCCGGCTCAGTCGCCATGTAACACGGACTTTAACGGCTGAAAAACGGTGAGTTTTTCCCCTTTTTCCTCCGCTTGGAAGCTACAGCTAGTTAGCTTTAGCCGGCTAGCCTAGCCACCTAGCAACAAGGCCGTTTTCTCCCCTTCTCGTCCGGCCATTTATGACGGTAAGTGACCATAAAAGATGTGTTAAAGCCAGCTAAACGCGACGAGGTGTGGTTTTAATCTCACACGGCCTGTTAGGATTTGGGGAAGCTTTGCTCAGGCGGCCGCACATCTGTCACCGCACCGGAATTGGGAACCGGGACCCCCCCGGGGAACAGCTGCCTTCACCGGCCAGCAGCAGCGCTCTGACCGCCTCCAGTGGAGATATCACTTTTTAAAATATTCCCAGGCATGTAGAGGAGGTGAAACTGCCTTTTTTTGTGGTTAAAAACACCAAACCCACCCTGGGATTAAAATATATTGAATACCTGATGATAAACAGGTTTAAATTCATGTGTTAAGTTGTTGAAGATACAGATGAGAGCGTGAACTGATGCTTTCCCTCCCACCTGGAGGTCACAGCTGTCACCTTCCTGTTTGTCCTAACCCCCCCCCCCCTCTCCCCTCTCTCTCTGACCAGCTGAAGAGTCCACCTGTCTTCATTTGGGGGTCCAGACAGGAGCTGCAGTGATGAACTACCAGCAGCACCTCGCCAACTCGGCCGCCATCCGGTCCGAGATCCAGAGGTTTGAGTCCGTCCACCCCAACATCTACTCCATCTACGAGCTGCTGGAGCGGGTGGAGGAGCCGGTGCTGCAGAACCAGATCCGGGAGCATGTCATCGCCATTGAAGGTAGGACGGGGAGGATGCACCGGCTTGGGTGGCTGCTTCATGAATGTGTCAGGCCGGGTTACCTTGAAAAGCCCCGAAATCCATGAATCCAAGTCCTTGAAAAGTCAGTTCAGTGTGGCACGTTCCTTGTTTAGTGTTGTGGTTTATCTGGAGAGAGATGTCAACAGATGCTTTCGTCCTTACAGCGAATGAAATTGGTTCTCTGCACTTTAAAGACAGAATGAAATCAATGTTGAGGAGTGACAGTGGAGGCAGGACACCAACCCGACCAGAGCTTTTTATTGGCATATTTGTTTTCCTTTTTTCCTGTCAGACACTTTAGCATCAGAAAAGCAGAGAGAGAAACTCCTTAAAAACCTTTTAAAAAGACAGAATGAGTGAGGTGGGTTTGATTCCTTGAGGACGATGGTTTCTGTAAAAAGACGAGATGTGAGACAAATTTGGAAATAATATTTCAGGAGAACACTGGGATTACGCCGAGTGAGTCTTGGCAGGAGCGTCGTACAGGTGTTATCATGAGCTTCTTGTAAGAGTCTTATGTTCTGCTTTTAATTCGCATTTTCTTTTCCTCCAAAAGGAAATTAAATCTGAAAGCAGGGATTTATATCTGAGTGTGGCAGATTGTGTTAGAGCTTCTTAGCAGTGTGGTTTATCTATTTGGTGGACATTATTTAACATACCGTGTGTGTTGGGACTGAGGCCGTAGTGCTGTGTTTTATTTTTGTAGTGTTTATGTTTTGTTATCCGCTGTCTCAAAGACCGTATCAGTAACGCTTTCAAACAGACGGCCAGATTAAACTAACATCCTGTATTGCTCATTAAAAACAATAATCCAAACAGATGAGAGCTATTTGAACCTGCGTTTGTACTCTCATTTGTAAAACAATCTACCACTCAGTATTGATTTATTGATTGACACCAGTGAAAATAAACTGCTGTCCGTTAACGGTGATACATTTGTGATTATGATTACAGTTTTGTCCTTAAAGGCTTTCCGTATATATGTCCAGATAAAAACAGTGGACATGTAAAGGTACCCGGGTTTCCTGAGAAACGACATCACACGCTTGTTGTTAGCTTGAAACGGAGACCGTGTCAGACTCTTTTTATTTGATTAGCTGAGAAGTGGAGCAGAGTGAGTTTAATTTCTGCTCATTCCTTTGGGTCCCATGATGATGATGATGATGATGAAAGGCTTGCAGAAAAGAGCCAGTGAAGTCTGTGTTTGTGCGTGCTGCCTTTGTTTAGGAACATCTGTATGTTGGACACAACACGTGTCCAGTCAGCCGGAGCTCTGTGTTGATCCCGTAGTTTGAAGAGAAGGTGAATAAAAAGCCAGATTGGGCCAAAAATAGGCCAGAATCTGGCTTAAAAGCACATCTTGAACTCTGCAAAACTTCACTGTCGTTAGGCTCAGCTTTAAAGGTTAACGTCGACGCATTTTCTGACAGGATTTCTGACCTTACGCCCAGAAAATGTCAAGCAGCGCTGCTAATAAGAGGCTTTCACTGTGTTAAATCAAGGCTTGCATCCATACAAAGAAAACGTCTGCAGCTTGGTAGGGCTGGATAATAAAACAATAATGACAATTATTGCACTATAATTTCCCCCAATAACAATGTAATAAATGCTCAATGTATCGTCAATAAATATTTTCTTTAATTCATTTGAATCACAGATAAATTATCACTAAAAAAGATGAACTAATCATATTTAAAACAGATTTTATCATAATCATTTTGAATGTTCCACCTCAGATTGGTGACGTGATCCACTGTTTGGCGTCAAGTGTTTGTCACATTCTGACCATAAAGAAAAGTTTAACCACATAATTAACCATCTGGTTTCTTCAGTTTTCACTCAGGAGCAAAAATCAGCCTTTAAACCCGAAAGAAATAACGATTCCACATATATCGCGATAATTATCTATATCGAACGATATGAAA